GCAAGGGTTGGGCTAGGCTGAAGCCAGGAGCCAGAAGCTCCATCCAAGTCTCCAGTATGGGTGGCAGAGGCCCAAATATTTAGTCCATTTTCCACTGTTTTCCCAGGCACATTAGCAGGAAGCTCAACTGGAAGCAGAGTAGCTGGGACTTCTGTTTGCACTCATATGGAATAATAATGTCACAGTATATTTTATTAAACTTCTGAGATAAGTTTTTGTACCAAGATTTAATTCTATTCTTACATTTTTATCCTTATCTGAAGGTGAAATTTAGGGCCTTGCAGCAGTTACTCTTTCCTGGGAAATAATATTCATATTCTGGTTACCTTTCAGTTATACCAATTTAAGGCCTTTCATGATTTCATTTTTCTCTAAATTTTACCTTTTTTCTCTCCTGTCATTTAAGACCCTCCTTGGAGGGGAAAAAGGCATAAGAGATAAACATATCCCTAGTAGTAGTAGCCTGTTGCCTGCTGGTATCTTATTTGTCCTAATATGAACATATTTTATCGATTTCTTTTTCTATTGGTAATTATTGAACTTTCAAATGACTGTAGTGGTAGGAATTTGAAACTGCTAAAAATAACATGGTATATATGAATTTTGAGGGTTGATAGAAACAGCATCTTGGGCAGAAAACATAAAAGGGGCCTTTAAATATTCTTAAAATTGCTTTTCACAGGTAGCTATTGAAACTTTCCAGTTTCAAAATAAATCTCATATTTTTGTGTCAGAATATGTCTTCTACTGAGGATTTAGTAGTATTATAAGTAGTATTATTTATTTATTTATTTGAAAGGCTGAGTTACACAGAGAGAAGAGGCAGAGAGAGAGAGATCCACTGGTTCACTCCCCAATTGGCTGCAATGGCGGGAGCTGCGTCAGTCTGATGCCAGGAGCCAGGAGCTTCCTTTGGGTCTTCCCACGTGGATGCAGGGGTCCAAGGACTTGGGCCATCTTCCACTGCTTTCCCAGGCCATAGTAGAGAACTGGATCAGAAGTGTGGAGCAGCCGGGTCTCAAACCGGTGCCCATATGGGATGCCAGCACTGAAGGTGGAGGCTTTACCTGCTATGCCACAGTGCTGGCTCCATGATGTCCTTTCATATGAGAATATTATAGATTCTTCCATGCAGGAAATTTTTTAATTAATAATTTTTTAGAGAATTTACTATGCTCAAGGGGAAAAATGAATAATTTCTGCCAACATGTTGTAGAAAGTGATTCATTAAGGCTGATACCATGTGCGGTGAAAAAATATTCACCAGAGCAGAGAGTGAGCAGAGTTATATTTATTAAAATACACCACAGAGGAGCAACAGGTGAGCAGGCCAGCTGTTAGGTAACAACTGTTGCAACGTGGATCATAATCTAGCCAGTATACATCTGAGGCACATTGCCACTGGCTTGCACTTTTCCATCACTATTGAGTCCTTATTGCTGGAGAGTTTTACTAGGGGTTACCTTGTTACCAGGGGCCCAGATGACCTTATCATTTCATATGATCTAATAGAATTTTTTTTTAATTTTTTTACTTTTTTTTTTTTGACAGGCAGAGTGGACAGAGAGAGAGAGAGAGACAGAGAGAAAGGTCTTCCTTTGCCGTTGGTTCACCCTCCAATGGCCACCGTGGCCTGCGTGCTGCGGCTGGCGCATCGCGCTGATCCGATGGCAGGAGCCAGGTACTTATCCTGGTCTCCCATGGGATGCAGGGCCCAAGTACTTGGGCCATCCTCCACTGCACTCCCTGGCCACAGCAGAGAGCTGGCCTGGAAGAGGGGCAACCGGGACAGAATCCGTCACCTGGACCGGGACTAGAACCCGGTGTGCCGGCTCCGCAAGGAGGAGGATTAGCCTAGTGAGCCGCGGCGCCAGCTAGAATATTTTATATGCACAAATAATTAAATCACTAAGCAGAAACATGATATTATAGGGAATGTTCAGAGAAATGAGAGACAACATATGCTCTTGAATCAAGAAAAATGTCAAAGAGTAGGTAATGGCCAGGAGAGAAAAGGAAGGATTTCTGCAGATGTAAACGGAAGACTGTGTGGAAGGAGATAATAGTATGTTCAAGGGCAGCAAGGACAAACTTAGAGATTATTAGTGTAGTTCTCTCAAGATGATTAGGGGTTCATATGAGTTCAAGTCATTACGCTTTACAAAATAAATCCATTACCTATTTCTTTTTGATATATCAAATGGTACATAAAAATGAATAAATGGTCAACAAAGATGACGTAATGAAAGAAAACAAATCATAAGGGTTAATGTTTATTAAAGACCTACTATGTGGGGCCAGGTGTTCTAGTGCAGCAGGTTAAGTTGCCTCTTGGAGTGCCTAAGATTGAGTCTGGCCTCCATTTCTGATCTAGCTTCCTGCTAACTCACCTGGGAGGCATCAGATGATGTCCCCTGCCATCCATGTGGGAGACCTAGATGGAGTTCCTGGCTGCTCATGCCTTGCTGTTGCAGGCATGTGAGGAGTGAACCAACAAATAGAAGATATATCTGTTTCTCTCTCTTGTTCCTTCTCTCCCTCTCCTTTTCTCTCTCTCTCACCTGCTGGCTTTCATATAAATAAAATAAGTAAATCTTTAAATTGAAACAAAACCTACTATGTTAAACTGCATTCTAAATTCTTACCTTTAATCTCTGCAACATAATTATATAAATGCATCTTATTAGTTTCATAAGTGCATGTATTTAAACTTAAGGAGTATAAGAGAATTACTCCAACTGACTCAGTTAAGATGTGGTGCAGCAAGTAGGAGAGACCAGAGGCTCAAAAAGGACTTTTATAAAATAAACAAAGGAGCTATTTAGCTTGAAAACAAAAAAATATTAAAAGAGGTAAATATTCTCAAAAATTATCAGTGGATTTCCTCTGTAGTGAGTAATTTTTGTTGTATTTCTTAGAGGGTTTTTTTTGTACCTTTCCCTTCTACAATGAATGTAATTTTTAAGAGTTTTTTTTTAAGACAAAACTTTTAAGTTAGAGAATATTTTTTTTTCTTTTGACAGAGTGGACAGTGAGAGAGACAGAGAGAAAGGTCTTCCTTTGCCGTTGGTTCACCCTCCAATGGCCGCCACGGCCTGTGCGCTGTGGCCGGCGCACCGTGCTGATCCAATGGCAGGAGCCAGGTACTTATCCTGGTCTCCCATGGGGTGTAGGGCCCAAGCACTTGGGCCATCCTCCACTGCACTCCCTGGCCACAGCAGAGAGCTGGCCTGGAAGAGGGGCATCCGGGACAGAATCCGGCGCCCCGACCGGTACTAGAACCTGGTGTGCCAGCGCCGCAAGGTGGAGGATTAGCCTAGTGAGCTGCAGCGCTGGCCAAGTTAGAGAATATTAATCACACTTTCAAGCTTGGGGGAGATTGCTGGGGAAAGAAAGCAAGATAAAGTACTGCCATTGTCTTGGGGATTGGGATCAAGAAGCAATCTTTATTCATTCAATAAATATTTATTGAATTCCTATTTTGTGCCAGGCAAGAAAAAAAGAGAATGAACCAAATAAGGATAGATGATTAAGGAGACAGGAAGAGTGAAGTAGACAGAACGTCCATGAAATGATCTCATTCCCATCAAACTAGAAAGTGAAGTCAGTGGCTAAATGTGAGAATGGAAGTGAGCCTATGACTTTGGTGATGTACAAAAGAGTCTAAAACAATCCTGTGGTTGCTTTGGAACCCAGGGGCAAGAGTAAAGATGAAAAACTATCCAGAGTTGAAGGATGTCAAGATGAAAGGAACAAGAGGCAAGGAAATAAAAGAATTTTGAGGCCAGCATGACCTTGAATTTTTTTAAATCTGAAGCATGAAAGTTTCTGTGGATGAGTAGATATTTGTGGAGAACAAGATCCTGGTGTTAAATCACAATATTGGGGTGGAGGATGGAATCTTGGAAAAAAAAACAAAACAAAACTTTCATGCAGGTAGATGGAATAGAGCTCCAGATAATACCCTTAAGTGCTCTTTAATAAGCAACAGTCTGGACGCTCAACGAAGCTATTTGTAGAAACATTTATTCAGTTCCTAGGAGTTCTAATTTAATTGGAGAGAACATTAATCCATCACATTCTTGCTCTGACACTCGGATAAATCTGAAGTGATAGTTTCAGAGCATAATCTGTATTTTGAGACAACTTGGAAATTATGTCCTGAAGTTTCAAATGCTATTAACATTCTTGACTAGAGTGTTCCATCTCTAGTGAGCACAGTACATTTTTGTTGTTAGGCAAATGGGTGCAAAATGCAGAGCACTCCTGTGTCTCACATTCTGTTTTAGTTAGCTAATCTATCAATTAAGGAGACCCACTTGAGCTGTTCAGAGATGATCAAGACAAGTCTTTTGCTTAGGATGGTCCAGCCAAACTGATGTGCTGCTGTTCTGCTCTAGTTCTGGCCCAGACGGAATTCACTCAGCGCCTGAGGTAGACACACAGACACTGGCTTATTTGTTTTGGCAATAATTGTCTCCCTGCCCTGAAAGAGGCCTTAAAATTGCTTCTGTATTTAGAAACAAGATTGCTCTGTGGAGGCTGCTGGTCAGAGTCTCACCTCTTTATAGAAATCTGTTATTCCTAGGACCCTGTTTCCTAACCTCAGCCTTTGTGGAGTTTGCTTGATGAACAGGCATTTGTTTGACACAGACCAAGGATACAGGAACCCTTATTAGCAAGTTTGTCTGTGGGAGCCACTATGGCAACTTCCCAGGAGAACACTAATTGTGTGGGTTTTATTGCCCACTAACTACTTGGACTAAATATTATGACAGATTCTGATTGTTTTGACTGAATAATGAGGACAGTTTAATTGTTAAAAAATGTGGATTTCAAACCAACAGATGAAAAGTAAATCCAAACTCAATCATTCTCAGTTGCACGCAGAGATGGGAAGAGGTGGCCATTCATGCTTGCCAAGTGCCTCTGTGCAATTGCAGAAGGGATTCTTGATCTTCCATGTTTACTTTTATTTTTGTCCTCTTTATTTGCCACAGCAAAGCCATCTAAATATTCCTGAGCCACCATGGAACTTCTGTCAGGCTCTTCAGTTCACTATCTAAAACACCCACAGGTTGGTACTTGGATTCTTAATAAGTATTTACCATTAATTTATTCCAAGCCTAGACTTTTAGCATCCCAGATTGCCTGTTCACTATTTACATTAAGCATATGTTCTCTGATTTCTCACACAGAAAATCAGCCCTGTTATTCAAGGAGGGGAAATCCATGAGACAACTGTATACACGGAGTGTTTGTGGATACTTTGTGTTTTATCATGACCAACTTCAATTTATTGTCTTAGTTCTGATGAATAAAATCTTATTCATTGCCTTAAAGAGAAGATCTGCCTGATAAAAGAAACTCTCAGATTAATGTAACACTTTCTATGCCAAAATTAAAGCCTCCTAGATTTGTTTAACTTTTAAAATGAAAAATATATTACATCTTTTGTTGCTGCCCCACCCCCCTGCACTTACCATGAAAGTTCTTCTGCATTCAGTGTTTCTATATCGCAGCTAACAACAAATTTTTCTTCCAGTTACTCAGGCCCCAAGCTGTGAAACCATCCCTTCTAAGGCTTTACCTTCAGAATAGATCCAGAATCTGACCATCTCTCATTACCTCTCCTGCTTCCGCCCTGTCCTAAATCACCACTGTCTTGCACACCCTGAATAATTTTCAGCAGCCCCCAACTCGATCTTCCTGCTTCCATTCCCTTTCTCTCCACTCACCTACTGAGCAAGTCATATCACTCCTCTACCATCCTAAGATAAAATTAATAGAGTCTCCATCTGCTCTCTACCATCATTTTCTACCACTTGCATTCTGGTTCATGCCACTTCACTTCTATTGCTTTTCTCAAGCACATTGGATGTTCCTCCCCAAGACTTTTGCACCTCATTTTTTTATCTATGATATTAAGTAATCTGCAAATTACTTAAATTTCCCAAACTTTGGTTTTCTTCTTGTGGAAAAGGAAAATAGCTTAATAAAAATAATTTTTAAAATACCTAAAATTTATATTCTATGCTATGTGTTTTTAAGTTAAATGTTGTTACCAATATTGTATTTCTTAACACAGTAGTATTACAATTACATCTGGAGAAACTGAGGCAAAAATTGTCAGTCATAATTCACAAAATGTCACTTGGGGCCTGACAAATAGATGGAAGCTCATGCAGGGGTCACGAGGGGCTAGGACTAGGGAGGAGAATCATGAGATGTAAGGATGAGAAATATATGATCGAATAGTCCTGCCAAATGGAGAATCTGTCACCAGTCTGTATTCAGCTGGCCACTTCTGGTGCATCTACAGTCCCAAAAGGAACCTAGAAAATAAAAGGATTAAGGGATTTCCAAGATAAGACATTAAAGAAAAAAACACTAAACATAAGATGACCAAGATGGCTATCATCTTGTTGATGTCTTGGGCTCCTTCAAATTGGAATAAAAGCATTAATGTGACTCCCCAGAAACCTCGGAGTGGAACTGGGACACAATTGTGCTAAGTCAGCCAGTGAGCTCAGTCATATTCTTTTCCTGGAGACATGGACATCAGCGTATGATGCACTAAAGAAGGAATGTATGTACTTCTGGCTGTTTCCTGAGGTCACCCCCATTAACAGTGATTTTATCTATGACAACACTGTTTCTGAAACTAGTGCATTACTGCCATGATAGCAGTCAAGCTGCTACAAAAATACCTGTTTTTTATTGAAAAAAAAAACCTTTTATATTCTACACCCTGTGCAAATTATTTTATGTGCTTCCTTACATTTAATTATTTTAATGATTTTATGAGATAAGCTTTTTTCTTCATATTATAAATGAGGATGTTAAGCCTTAGAGCAATTAAATAACCTTCCCAAGGTCACATGAATATTAGGTTGAGAAATATGAAATGAGAAGCCGGCGCCGTGGCTCAATAGGCTAATCCTCCACCTTGCGGCGCCGGCACACCAGGTTCTAGTCCCGGTTGGGGCGCCGGATTCTGTCCCGGTTGCCCCTCTTCCAGGCCAGCTCTCTGCTATGGCCAGGGAGTGCAGTGGAGGATGGCCCAGGTGCTTGGGCCCTGCACCCCATGGGAGACCAGGAAAAGCACCTGGCTCCTGGCTCCTGCCAGGATCAGCGCAGTGCGCCGGCTGCAGCGGCGGCCATTGGAGGGTGAACCAACAGCAAAGGAAGACCTTTCTCTCTGCGTCTCTCTCTCTCACTATCCACTCTGCCTGTAAAAAAAAAAAAAAAGAATTTGAATGAGAGACTGCACAGTTCAAAAAGTTATTTTTTATTCATTCGAAGCAGAACAGAGATCTCCAGTCCATTGGTTCAATTCCCAAATGCCTGGAACAGCCAGAAGCAAAAGCTGATAACTGAATCCAGGTCTTCCACAGGGTAGCAGGGACCCAAGTATTTGGACCATAATTGCTGGCTGAAAAGATTTCTGAAGATTTATGCCATTTTAAGAACTAAATGGTTTTGATTTAACAATGCAGACATTTACATTAAAATAGGGTCATCTAAAAGAATAACTTTTAAAGAAACTCATAAAGCATTTCTTATTTTTAAAAGATTTAATTGGCTTACCGTCCATGTATTTTTCTATTATCTAATATTTTAGAATTTTTTAAGATTGATTGATTTATTTAAAAGGCAAAGGCAAAGAGATCTTCCACCTGCTGAGTCACATGGAATACATATTGAATACAAGCATGTTGTATATCTAAATGTAACTACCTGATGCTACCTGATGATAAGAATACTCATTAATACCACTAAAAACTGGAGAGTCTCATAAGGAAAGAAAGCAACTTATAATGTGATTCAGAAATCATTAAAAAAAATTGCCATATAAGTCTTTCTGTACAATTTAGAGTATTCAAAAGAATTACAAGAAACAGCTCACATCCATATGTACATAAGAAATGTTATAATGAATTTAATTATCTCCATTTTCTTAACAAATATGAGCAAAGACATCAATGGTTTTAATACATTTCTAGTAATGTTTATTCTATGGTTGCTCATAATAATTGTAAGGTGCAGGGTGGGCATGGGGAAAAAGTATTGCTGACTATTTTCTGAGATTAAAATTTTGAACTGCTTTAGAAATTATTTATCTTTTCTGCCTAAGAGATGTTAACTCTCAGAGAAGGAGCTATTGATCCTAATACCCCTGAGAATCCAGCGATATACGAAACCTTATTTCCTATTTATAAGGTAGGCCTATATTTTCATCTCAAAGCTTTAAATATGAATACAGAGTAATTTCCCTTCAGATCGAATAAAATGTAAAATTTGAATGCTTAATTACTACCTCACGGAATCCTAACTAACTTCTATGCGGAAGTCCAATTTGAGCTAAAATGTTATAATTACAGATATGCAAATCTAAATTCAATTTGAATGTTAGATCACAGAAAAGGTAGTAAATTACTTCCAAAATCTGAGGAGAAATGTATTTTCTCAGTGTTTACCTCCCTAATTTATGCCCACCATGCTAACAGTGTTTCAAATTCCATTTTTTGTTATTATATCAACTTCAAGTCTGAGCCATTTTATAGATACATCTTATTCTCTATTTGATCATTAGAACAAGGCTTTAAAGCATAAATGGTTAGAATACTAAATAATAATGTAACTGACACTTTAAGCCAAAGCTGATAGAATAAAATTTAACACTGAATCATACCAACACCTTCAGTTCTCTTTCTACTCAGTTGACTGCATCCTAAATGCGCTAAATCAGAGCTAACTTTTAGAAAGTGCTCATCTCTATGTAGACTAGTTTAATAAATTCAAATGAACTTGTTTCAGAAGCAGAAATAATTACCGCCAAAAAGTAAGAAGGGAGAAAAATGAAGCACTCTCAAAACTTTTTTCCATTGTATCCATTTGGGGTGTATACCAAAAGATGGAAAATCCTCTCTCTCTCTCTCTCTCTCTCTCTCATTCTTCCAAATAAGTAAATCTTTTAAATATATATATGTGTGTGTGTGTGTATGTGTATTGTATATGTGCATATATAGATATATACACAAAAGTGGGAAGAAAAACAAGTAATAATATAGATAGAAATTCATGATACAGAAAACAACATTAACAGATTCTTCACTGAAGAGTTGCTATACTTGTGAAGAAAATACCATGTTTGGGATCTGAAGAAAATTTTAAAAGGAAATAATAATGTATAACCCTGTGTCCAGATTATTCCCTCACACATCCATGTCCATCTGGTAATGTTCATCTTCAGAGAGAGAAGTTAGTAATATCTTTTCCATGAAGCTTCTCTAAGCTTTTCAGGGACCTAATTAGTACTTATGCCACCTCTTTATCTTAGGAAAACTTTAAATATCATGTTTGGAAAGCTGTGTTATACTTGTTTGTTCTCATGTGTACAATATCTCCCAGGGTGGCACTCTATAAAGTAATGTTGTTTTTCCCAATGTCTAAGGAAGTGCTTGACTTTTAATTCATATTTGAAGACACAAATCAATAAATAAAGTGAGGATTGAGGACTTAGAGGAAGAAATGCAATGTGACCATGATACTTTATTTCTTCAATCGAAAACTACAATTCCTTCAAACATTAATCATAAGACACAATTTAGAGCTCCACAGACTTCTGGCTAAGATCAAGTAAAGACACAATTCATAGAGGCTTAAGTATTTTAGTCATCTGCCTTTGAAGACAAATATTTTTGGTCTATATTGTTAATTTTAAAACTACAACCAAAAAGGAGAGTTTTAAAAACAATATTTCATTCTCTTTCAAAGTTTTTGTTAGAAATTTGGAAAAGTGTTCTCTGAGTTGTTCTTCCCTCCTCTCTTTGTATCTCCTCTTCCCTTCTGTTCCCTTCCTTTTCCTTCCCCCTCTTCCTGTCTGCCAGGTTTTCTCTCTATCCTCTACATGGTCTCCTGTTGCTAATCCTGTGGCCTGGCAGCATAGGAGCCCCAGGGCACAGAGAATGCCTACAGACCAGTAGGGACTGCAGTATGAATTTTTCAGGGAAGTTGTCTTTCCTTTTCTGTTCTACCCTCAGAAAACATGTACTGTCACTTTCACCACAACCTGTGATTCTGTTAGAGTCAAAGCTTTACCTGTATTCAAAGGGAGGGACATTAGACTCCATAGCTTAATAAGGATATTGCAATGTGCTGGGACATATAGGGAAGGAGATACTGCAGCAGTCATCTCTACAGTACACAGCCTGCCACATAAGCTGTCTTCTAGCCACAGTTCCTATCTCTCTCACACACAAAATCCCATCCAAACACCACAAATTCGTATTTCATTTTGCTCAAGCTTGTAGAAAATCTTGTCATCTAAATTATACAATACAC